TGAATGAAATAAAAAAACAAAGCAACAGGCATCAATGCTTCCTCAGCTCTTAGAGGGGAACTCGGCGGAAGCATAAATGAGTTTTGTTTCACATGGGAATCGGTTTAGTGAACCAGCAAACTGACACCAGACACCACAGAGCTTGTATACAAAAGGCAAGGGTATTGGTTACCACTCTTCATCTCTAGGCACAAAAACAGTTAAATCTCTCTGGAAAAAAGACTAGCAGGGAAACCTCAGGACAATGGGAATGGGAAGGCAGAGGCATGTGGCCAGAGAAGTAGCCTGATCCTGACCATGTGGCTGTGTGGATCCACGAGCCTGCAGCATACTGCACATTACTGGCATCTGGAGCGTAACACAACGCATCAGACAATGTTGCACACTGGCTTTACTACAGCAATACACCCTGGCCGCAGTACAGACCCGGGCTTAGGACACACACTCACAGAAGATAAGATACTGTTATGACTGAGGGATGGGATTAAATCATGTCCCCTCCAGCTGGATTGATGGCAAAGCCTTTGTGTGAAGGCAGCAACCAGTTAGATTCAGTTATTCAGGGTGATAATAAAGTGAAGGGCAAGCTGGTGGTAGAGATGTTTTCAGTCATTATAAAAAGCAAGAGAATTACTGAAAGACAGAACAACTCAGATTTTGCCGATCTAGCTGTAAAAAATGATTCTCTTTTGCATACACATGCGTCACAGAGATGTTGATTTTGACTGTTATAAACGAATAATAACTATATGACTTCTACAACCTCTCTAACCTAATGCTATCATGACTGTAGCTAAAAACACTTATCATGGTCAACCTTGGCATGTATGTAACCTTTGCCTTTTGAGTAGAAAAGTATGTGTTTTATCCCATAAGGGAGAACATACAGAGGAAAGCAGAGAAGCACCAACGCAGCATTTTTTACAGTGTACCGCACCTCGATAGCAGAACCACAACAGAAGTTCACCTCTCACCACAGCAGTGTGTGTTCTGCAGGATGAGCAGTCGTAGGCTTACAGAGGCAGGGTGGGGTGGCTACAGAAAGACATTATACTGTATATAATTACAGAGCCTCTTTCCTAAATAGAACCCAGTGCCTCTCTTTATGAGATTCTCCCTCTGTATGAGAAACTGTCAGAAGAAACAGAGTCGGCCTCTGTGTGTGTGTGTGTGTGTGTGTGTGTGTGTGTGTGTGTGTGTGTGTGTGTGTGTGTGTGTGTGTGTGTGTGTGTGTGTGGATGGACAAGACTTCACTGTCTGCGCTGTCCAAGAGTTGCCACTGTGAAGGATAGGGAGGGATTTGTCTCATGTGATAGAAACCATGAATGAGTAAAGAGATAGTCAGGCGGGTATCTCTCTCATACTTCTGCAGTAAGAAGTAGCTGTTTCAGCATGGTGCAAGCTTAATATCAGAAGGCCCAACATTCTGCCCCCCATCACATTTCGCTACTATAAGTGCAACCTTTGAACAATCTTTATAAAAAATGTTGGATGGATTAAGATACAATTACTTTAACGCACACTTTACTGAAATGGTCTTGCAATTAAAGGGTTATGAATGCATTTAGTTTAGTTTATCCATTATCAGTATCGCTATGTATGTCTGATTTACCAAATGTTTACATGGACTGGCCCCCCCTCCCCTCCCTCCCTTAGGGGAATTCATCCACAAAAAAAACACTGGACGCTGCACTAGGTCAGAAACCAGAGGAGACTGTGAAGTCCACTGCTGACGGACCACTTTTGGACAACTTGTTCTTTCCATAAAAGGCAGCTCATTCTGGAATAGCCTCCCAACTGAGATACGGGATTGTCCCACTTTTAAAGGTCAACTCAAACAATGGTTGAGAAACAAACAGACGTGCGATCACCGCTAAATGCACTNGGAAGGGGGGTGTCCGGTGCCTTGCTCAAGGGCACCACGGCAGGGTAGGAGGTGAACTGGGACCTCTCCAAGTAGCAGTCCACACTCCATATTTTAGGTCTGGTCGGGGACTTGAACCGGCGACCCTACAGCTCCCAGTCCAAGCCCCTACTGACTGAGCCACTGCCATCCTGTGTATCTTCTCACAACTTCAGAGGCTAGGGGCAAAAAACTAAAAGCTACCAGCCTGAACTCCGGCCTGCTCCACTATGGCCTTAATTCTGCCATGATATACAAGGGATATTAAGGTATAACAGAGGGATATCTTCTTTGCCTGTTGCAGGATAACATTTCTAAAAATCTATTTTCACCACAGAGTTAAACACCAAAGATGTCTCACTCGAACAGACAACATCTAGTTAAAAATGAGTGGACTTTGTATATCCTCGTTCCTTTTCACTTCTGCTCCTTGGTAGTCAGCGTTTCTGCACACTGCACTCTAACGACACTCCTTTGTGTATAGTTGCTAACTTCTACAAAATCAGAAGCGGGAAGACAGTAACACAGCGGTAGGCCAAACAGTGGAAAAGGTCACAGTGTTGAAGCTACTGTTGGCTTGGTAACTACAGCCCGTGAGCTGACCCCCCACTCTTCTAGTCAGTAAACTAGACAAAACACATGCTGAATGCAGTGGGGTTTGAACCTGTGCTCCCCTGATCCAAACATCAACACACTAGTCCACTCTGCCACACGCCTCCCTTAACAACGACACGGCAGAATTAAGACTTATTGCTTGGGGGAAAAAAATATAAATTGATGTCAACTATAATATAAAGACTAGAACATGCAGACATAACTACTTTTGTGAGCAAATAGACTGCATTTTAGATGATCAGAGAGCAGAAAGGAATTTAACAAATCATAAAAGTTGTTTCGCAATGCAATCTCATTTCTTAAAATCCAAAGAGAGCCCAAATTCCCATACATTAGTGTAGAAAAACCAATTCACAGCCATCAATGCTCTTTGTCCCTCGCTCACCTATGCAGAAGTTTGCTCCAAAAATCTAAACTAACTACCTTGAGGATTTATAAATTGTTACGGAACTTTTTCATTCTTTAATGATATACCTCTGTGTATATGCAAGTTTATATTAAAAGCATGTACATGTGTGTTTGTGCTGTATAGTGATACTTTGCTTTGGTGATTTATGCACTTACATTCTCTCTCATCTCCTTCTCCACCGTGGGGGACATCATGATGACACAGACGATGGTGACCAGCAGGAAGTAGAAGGCGTACATGATGCGGGTCCCAGTGGACTGTTTGATGTTGGGGCAGCAGTTACAGCAGCAGGCGCAGGCCGCTGATCCGCAGCAGCAGGCCAGCTGTACACAGAACAATGGAGAGAAGAGGGAGGGAAAACATGACCATCTCAGTTTCAGGACTTTCCACATCATTTATAACCCATCGGATACAGACATAATGTATTTATCGGGCTCTTGGATAAGGAATGACCAGGGTTTCAATGTGCACTTTGAAAACAATGCTGTCGCCTACAGAAGCTTCACCTGAAAGGAGGGAATGAAGCAAAATCCCCCACTCTTATGGCTGAAGAAGTTTACCATTCACTCGTTGCAACTAATCAAACAGTAAAATGATAACAAGAGGAGCGTAAGAGTTACAACGATAAATCACACTGTCTGAAATCTGAACAACATGCCGCCTCTATCCTTAGACCCTCAATTAAGTTCAAGCAGAGCTAGAAGAAAAACAAGGGGAAAAAATGGAGGAACCTCAAAGCAGAAAGGCAGGGATTCCTCTTTCAGGATGGCCACACATGCAATGTACCGAATATGGACAGAAATAGCAGTAGTAAATGACTACAGTCGGTTAAACCTTAGAAACCAAAACCGATGAACTACACACAGTGAAGGTGGCCCTACAAGGTGTCTCCTCGAACAGACTGCTATTCATTCAAGTTCTATGTTACAGTATCATTTATTTGTTTGTTTATTTGGCAGGGACATTGCACATTAATGAACACTTAAAACTTGAAATATGCCAAGTGTAAATATGCCGGATTTAGCTTTGAGCTACTTTCCATCCGCAGTCCCTCACATAAAACATTAAGAAAACGAAAATTACAAACTTAGCAGTACAAATACATAAAATGCAAGAAAAGTGCAAGATTAGAATACCCAAGTATTTAGGACATGGTAATACAAAATGGCAGCATCGATACATAAAGTGCAAGAGGAGATTCCCCTGTATTAAAGTGCATTTAGCGGTGATCGCACGTCTGTTTGTTTCTCAACCATTGTTTGAGTTGACCTTTAAAAGTGGGACAATCCCGTATCTCAGTTGGGAGGCTATTCCAGAATGAGCTGCCTTTTATGGAAAGAACAAGTTGTCCAAAAGTGGTCCGTCAGCAGTGGACTTCACAGTCTCCTCTGGTTTCTGACCTAGTGCAGCGTCCAGTGTTTTTTTTGTGGATGAATTCCCCTAAGGGAGGGAGGGGGGGGGAGCAGTCCATGTAAACATTTAGCATGATAACAGTGTAATGGTTCAGCTGTAATTACTATGTTAAAGTTAAAACAATGACCGCTTATTCTCTCTGCCTGTTTCTTGCAGTTCCACCGATAGAAGTGACCATTCTTTACACTTCTGAAGATTCCTTTATATGTGAGGCTGAAGCAAATCCACGTGCAAACATCACCTGGAGCAGGTACTGTCGTCTGAATGAACTGGTTTCAGTGAACAGGATCTTAATCAAACAATATTATGTTTAACCTTGAAGAACTGTGTGGTTTGTTGTTCTCACAATCTATGGTCGGATGGTAAGAGTTGGGCTACTAGCCAAATGTATTTGAAGGANTACTAGGAGCAGTGGGCAGCTATTGTACAGCGCACGGGGAGTGAGGGGGGCCTCCTGCCCTGCCGTGGTGCCCTTGAGCAAGGCACCGGACACCCCCCTTCCCCCCTCACTCCCCGTGCGCTGTACAATAGCTGCCCACTGCTCCTAGTACTAGACTCCTGGTGCTAGGATGGGTTAAATGCAGAGAACAAATATCACTGTGTGCTCTGCATGTGTGACCATTAAAGAGGGGTTCATCCCTCCCAATTCTTCTATAGGAGCTGCCCTCTCATTTGATCCTTATTGCTCTCATGTCTTTCCCCCTCTTTGAATCACTATTACGCAGGATTATTATAAGATTGACTCTTTCTGTGTTTCTGAGAAATGTCAACAGAACTGTGAGGCTTCGGTTGCATCTGTTACAATCCAGTGAGCCAGACTGTAGTTATACATCTTCGTTTCATCCTCCCTTCTCTTTTTTCTGAGTTTAAGGAATCCTCCAATATTTAAGGTTTAGTTGCTGGATAAGCATTTACTAGACTAGGATGATTACTAGGAGCTGACAGTGCTACTATGGCAATCACTGAAATCAAGATGCTATTTGAAAACTCTGTATTATTCCACCAATCTTCTTCTGCTTTCTTTTCTTCTCTCTTTCCCAGCCAGTGTCTACTGTACACAGTATTCAAATGACTCCCTACTGTGTGTCTCCTTGTGAGAGGGCAGCCCTGTAAAAGACTCATCCAGGCACAAAATGGCCTCTGATAGCCCCACGCAGAGCCTGCTGGGTTACACACACATACATGCACATTTACACGCACACTGCCAGTCACACACTGAGCACAGTGGGAAGTCCCGGCTAAGAGAGCAGCCATTGTGCGTACGAGAGTGCTGGTCTTTTCTCAAGAGATTTACAGCTGTCCGAAACAGCCGGCCCCCTTCGCTCTTAATCACGACACCATGGACATGCTAATATGGTCCTCGACGTGAGACAAAAGCTCCCAACTGGCCTTTTTACTCTATGTTGTGATCTGGCTCTGGACTGTGCTCCACACTGAGGTGATGACAACTCAATCCCCTGGCGTCTAACCCATGTGTATAACCTCAAGCAACAAAAACTCTGCCAATAACTAGTAAAGCCGACTCAAAGCGTTATCTGAATGTAAATATCTGTGGTTCTCTCAAAGCTTGACCCCTGTTTGAAAAGCAGAACTTGTATTTGACTTTGATTCACATCTCTAATGTCCGGGGGCATCAGAGAAAGGAAATAAATCCTCTGGTTATCATTTGGAAGGCCGTCTCTTCTGTTGGCACCGAGCCACTGAAGCACTCACAATTTCCTGTAGCAGGCCACAGCACCGTCCTTATCTACTTGACTGATTCCAGTTTTTTGCTTTGTGTTTTATTACGTTGCTCACTGTAGGTTGACATTTTTTTTTTCTTAAGACGGATCTGCCAATCTTTTCCCTTTGCTCCATCTCTCTCTGCTCTTTGCTCTTCCCAATCCCTTGCTGATAGAAGGCGGTTAATTTATTCATCTGCGCCTTTTGTTTCTGTACACTGACAGTTAGTTGTAAGGCCCCTCTAACAGCCCGCAGAGAACGGGGGATGAAAGAGGGCCACATGGAGAGAAAGAGGGCTTGTTGTTGCCGCCTGTTTTCTCTTTCTGCTCTTTAGAGGCGTGACGCTCAGAATAGACGTTCTCCGGCCTTTTCTGTGAAGCAGCCTTCTAGACAAACATGTGGGGGGGGGGGTTCAACACCATAATGATCTAATCAAAGTGTTTGTAATTGTGTCAATCAGATCCCGTTCTACCATCAGATGTGTGAGAAGGCAGAGGAGAACTGCCAAACTCTGGTGGGCTACTCGGCCGTCTACAAGGTGTGCTTCGGCATGGCCTGCTTCTTCCTCTTCTTCGCCATCTTCACCATCCGCATCCACAACAGCACAGGCTGGAGGGCGGCCGTGCACAACGGGTGAGAAAGGCCTCCCCCCTTTCTGTCCACTTTGCATCCTGTCATTTATTAAATAATTTACATCCATCTGTAATGTGTGGCTGGCCTGGCACCCTAAATGTGTTGGTCTCTGAAAACAAAGGCAAACAGAAATAACTCACTTGATGGAAGGTGTGCACATTGCAAGCAGTCAGGTTTTTATTCATTCTGCTATTAGTTCACATATCACAAGATATAGTGTGCAAAGATTTAATCCTACAACATGATCTTGAAACAGTTTCCCTGAACATAATTGAATAGTCTTATTTACATTATGACATAAACATAGACACCAGATACCTTATCATGCAGATCTCATCCTCCAAAATGTGTTGCTTAGTATTATTTAATTGTTATCTAAAATGACTTATTTCTAAGTATTCTGTATTTCCTTCACTTTATGCTTTGTGTTGACATTTTCCCATGTTTATTTTTTATATTTCTATGCAATGTGAAAGGTGGAGTTGTTTGTTATTTCTTAGTGCTTATGTTTTTATTCATTCGGCCATTAGTTAGGTCCATTCAGTATCTCTGCAAATACTAGAAATCATAATTTATTGTGTCCAAACTATTTAAGCCTTCAACGTGAGAGGGGATCTCGAAACAGTTTTCCTGAACATAATTGAATACGCTTATATATCAACTACGACATAAACATAGACACCGGTTACCTTATAATGCAGAGCATATTATTGAGCATTTGTTGCTTAGTATTTGTAACTGTCATCTCATCCAAGATTACTTATTTAGTTTTCTAAACTGTATGCTTTGTGTTGACACATACATTTTTTGAGTTTCAAAATCCTAACTTAGGCAGACATTCAGTATTTACCGCTTCTGTTATTCCAATGTTTACCTTGAATATTTGATATGCAATGTTGAAGGCGTGCTTTCAGGTTAGTTTGACCATCAATGCAGAGAACAAATCATCCCCTCCCTTTCCTGTGAGAGGGTCTTATCTTTACGCCAAGAGAGACTAAAACTAAAACTGGAAGCTCTCTGGAGGGAAAGATAAGACAGCCAGGTGTTCTTTTCTGTTTAATCTTTTTTCTGCTGGGAGGTGTATGGGAAACAGATCTATTGTGTCAGCAGTTTTTGTGTGTTATGTTGACTTTTTCCATGTAGAAGCTTTAACAATATCACTGTTTTAAATGTCAGGTTCTGGTTGGTGAAGTTCATCGTGCTGGTGGCGTGCTGCGTTGGAGGCTTCTTCATCCCGAATGAGGAAGTCTTTCTGGAAGGTAAAGAGAGCTCCCTCAAAAGGACTGTCTTCAAAGCTGGTATTCAGGCTGTATTTTGATTGAGAACATATTCATATAATCCCACATAATTAGCAAAGTAAAGAGTGTAGTGGCAATTTCTTATATTACTTTATATGGTAAAACCAAATGATGATATTATACTGAGAAATGTTTGGTCAACACGACCTATTGTATCCCACGGTAGCTTCCTGCCAAGGTCGTACTTGTACAATGCGGCTCTTGTTCCTTATGAGAGCATTGCAAGATAACAGTCAGGAGAAAGTGTTATCTCTTTTTGTCTGCACAGCAACAGTCCTCTATAAATCACACACACACATTTGCCTACCTGCAGACTACTCTGTACTCTACATGACCTGTACCTTCAAGCTTGAATAAAGAACTACTAAGACAACTTTGATTTGCATCGAACCAACTTCATTATTTGTATTACATCTCCAGATTGTTGACGAGTGAAAGTTTCCACAACAAGAGTAAGAGGAATTGATAAAACATATCAGAAAAGTTTTCAGTTTTCTAATTATGCATCATTATCCAAGCCTTTCACACAAACTTCTGAAAATTACCCTGCCATGTTATCTTTGGTTTTAATATAATCTTGCAGCATGAAAGTTCATCAAGTCAGAGATATCTGCTGTAAGGTCTTCTCACCTCTAAAGCTTTTCTCTCCCTGTGTCCACACAGCGTGGCGCTACATAGGAGCGGCTGGCGGCTTCATTTTCCTGCTGATCCAGCTCGTGCTTTTGGTGAAGTTTGCACACAGATGGAACACAAACTGGTGAGCAACATGTCTTCTATCTGCTCTCGTCTCTTTTTTTTATCCAAAGTCTCCAGCTCTCTTAGGTTAACATGAGCGACCTGTAAATAGAAGCAGTGGAGTGCTATTTGTTCGATCATGTGAAAGCTGGGATGACACGTGTTCCCCTGGGGGTATTACGTAAGTTTGAAAAGAAGAAGTTGTGTTTCTTTGCTTTTTGTGGATGGAGGCGGGGCTTGGCCGACATTTCCCAGGATGCATGTGGTTTAGGAGTGTGTGTGCTCAGTTTCACACAGACACACATACCACAGCAGATTGTTTTGAAATATTTAGATGTTTTGGTAACCATTACAGTAAACCCTAACCTTTCAATTTGTAATAGATTGTGTTTTTTATTCAAATCTTGGATTTCCAGCCATGGCAAAACTGATTTTAAGCTTTTTGCTTTCTGCTTTCTCTTCCTCTAACGCTCTCTTTCTGTCTGCAGGAGTTCAGGAGTGACGCATAATCGCTTGTGGTACGCGGCCCTGGCCTTTGTGACCCTGATGCTGTTCAGTGCTGCGGTCGGGGCCTTGGTCTTCATGGGAGTTTTCTACACTGACCCCGAGGCCTGTTTACTGAACAAGATCTTCCTTGGCATCAACGGCAGCCTGTGCCTCTTCGTCTCCCTGCTGGCCATCTCCCCCTGCATACAGAAGGGTGAGTGTCGTGTCAAATGTTCATATAATCATGATGTCTTATACTCTGATTGCCTTTTACTCGTTTAAATAGTATTTGTAGTCCTACATGTGTTACAGAGACATATGTTTAGGATTGCAAATGGTTAAGGACTGGGGGGTGTTATGGTTTAATGGGGGGGATGTTTAGATAATGCCTAAGACAGTTGATGGGTGGGACCAGTATCACTATATAGTGTTACTGTAAGCTGTTTTCTGGAAGCAAAGCCGTTTGATCCTTTGAGGATGAAGTTGCTCTGTTCCTGCATTTGAGATCGATTTCAATTGTATTTAGACTTTCTTTATTACTTTATTAAACATAACAAAATACAAACTTTGTCCATAAATCATTTATCAGTTTCTCTTAAGGGAATTATAATTTGCTCCACCGTGAGGACCTGTACTTGTCTCATTTGACTGTCAAATACAAAATAGACAAGCATTTGCATCGGATGCTTTTTTTTTTTTTTTAAAGCTACTTGACATATCACAAAGGGTATTTCACACATTTCACATTTGGGACCCATAGGAAATATAAAACAGATAATAAAGACTGATGGCTATAATACTTACAATATGTGGTAGAATTCAAGAATCTAGCAGTAAGTAATGAATACTTTGTTTAATGTTGTGTCCCTGCAGTGCAGCCCACATCAGGCCTGCTGCAGCCCGGAGTCATCAGTGTGTACGTCATGTACCTCACCTTCTCAGCCTTCTCCAGCAAACCAAAAGAAAGTGAGTATCAACCGACACACATCCGCATCTGGGATTTAAAAATATAGTTTTATTGGATTTAAGGACACTTTCCACTGAAAACATGAACAGCATTTTGTTTGAATGAGACAGAAAAAGTGTGCCTTGTAACCACTCTAATATTCAGTTTAATTGGGAAATAAGTTACAGTAAAAAAGCTCAAGTCACTCTAACATATGTTTCACTTTAACTTAAAGATTAGCATTTATTGTATTTGTAGTCATTTAAAATGAAATGAAAAGTTAAACATTTAGAAAATGTCACTTTTAATGAATAAATAACCCTTAACCCTAACCCCCTAACCCTTGGTTAAAATTCATTAAAAAACCTAAAACAGACATGAGGGAAAGAAGATCATCCCTCCCCAAAAAACTAATACTTTCAAAGTCAGATTTATTGTCAAAATTACTACACGTGTTATACATCCAGAAATCTCGAGATACCGTTTCCCGCAGTCCCACAGTGTGACATATATACATAAAACAAAAAGGGCCTAGATAAACGGGGTATACAATTTGTAATGTTTTGTTCCAGTTGAAAACACAGATTTGACTGTGAAGTGTTCAATGTTATCATAACAGATAAGGATTCCTGCGCATCTGTTCAGTGAAAAGTGTTAGTTGTTGTTCACTGAAAAGGAAGAAACATAAACCCAACACCACATAGTGAAGCCTGTCTAAGATAAGGCATTACAATCTCTACAATAGCTGCTAAAAGGGTAAACTGTGAGATTTATGGGAAGTTGTGAATCTTAAAGGAATTACTCTGCAGAGCCTGAGGAATCCATCCCTACAGGGCTCCTGTTTCCACTGCTGCTGTCAAGATAATATTCTATGCTGCCATACTATTGTAAAGATAATCTTACCATAAATATTTAATACCAGCACATGCTCGCTAAGTAACACAACAAGTGTAGTACACACTGTGGGGTTGTTGGCGCCTCTGTACTCATTGTATCTATAGCGAAGTCTCCATTTTTCCTCCTGCTCTCCCACTGAAACTGTGCCAAAATACACACTGCATATTTCTCAATAATCCTACTCCTCACTCACTCTACTTCTTCTTTGCCCTCATCCATCTCTGTCTTCTCTTTCTTTCTATCTAGTCGTGGAAAGAAATGGTGTGAACACGACCGTGTGTGTGTTTCCCATCAACTCTGGGACGGAGAGCGACAAGCAGATCGTGACCGCTGTTGGAGCCATTATCCTGTTTGGCTGTGTGCTTTACTCTTGGTAAGACGCACACGCACACACACACACACGCACACGCACACACTCACACACTCACACACAAACACATACACACACACTGCTTGCTTTTCTATTTTTCTCAATATCTACTCAATTGCAAGCCAAGTTTCCATATAATATATACTGTATCTTTTTAGTTGTATATCATTACATTTAAAGAGTTTATATTTAACGAGAAGGCCACAATCCAAACACATGAACTGCAGTTCTGTTCNCACACGCACACACACACACACACACACACACACACACACACACACACACACACACACACACACACACACACACACACACACACACACACACACACACTCACACACAAACACATACACACACACTGCTTGCTTTTCTNTCCCCCCCTCTCTCCCCCTGCCTCTCCATTTTGCTCAGTGTGTAGCATAGTGTTTGCACACAGAGGGGATAACTCATTGCTATTCCTCAGCCACATTCAGGATGGTGAGAAAGTATTGGTCAGCAAACATGGATGATGTCACTGTTACTAGGAGAGTAGTATGACACAGTGAAGCAGGACCAGCAGCAACGAGTCAATGTGTATAGAGTGACACTGCCCCCTGCTGGAAATAAAAGAAACAAGTCAAGTGTTGGCAAATTCAACCACAAGAAATGCTTTCAAGATTCAAGATGAAAGGTATTCATTATCATATGCTGCACAGTAGCTACAGTTTAGTTATGGCAATGAAAATCGTATGTCCCGAGCTCCTCCAACAATGCAACATATTATACAAGGACGCAAAATAACAATAATAATATACAAATAAAAATAGTGCAAATGTCTCACCACTTGTACACACATTCTTCTCTTGAGTTTATTGTGATTTACATTTGTACATCCTTTAAGACATCATGTGTTTAAGGTATTTGCCCAATGTGTCCACTAACTTATGCCAATCTTCAAAACCGGTTTGGGTGTTGTTTTGCCTGAATATACATGTAATTCAGCAGGATCCTATGATGGCGTTGTTCGGAGAGAAAAGGAGTAATTAACTATACTAAAAAATAACGAATGTTGTCACTTAAGCACAGAGATTGACCCTTCTCCACTGTTTACATGCAACATCTTAGAATTGAGAAACTTTGATTCCCAGAACGTGACTCTATGTTAACCCCCACTTCCTGGTTGTCACTCCAAATGGAGCAAGTCACATGTATTTATAATAATTTCTTATGTTCGGTCTTTGTAGTACATCCCATTAAGATAAAGCTTAGGCCTTTGACTTTATTACTTACTTAGTTGAAAAGTGTCACTCACCCACACCCTGTTTGTGATTGTTAGACGACTATGATGAGGAGAACACTGGTGGAGGCCAGAACGTGAATTATGACGAGAGAGAGGGAACCATCTATGGCTACGCCTACTTCCACTCTGTCTTCTTCCTCGGATCGCTTTACGTCATGATGACCGTCACCAACTGGTTCCAGTAAGTCATGCTTTAATTGTATTGTTGTTTGGGCATGTCATTAAATAAGTTCTTCCTGTTTTTCTAATAAGCAATTTCTCAGGTTCCTAGTTTGGCTTCCTGGAACACTAAAATGTAAATCAGTCAGTTAAGCCTGTGCTTTTCCTGCTTTCTCAAGTAGAAATGTCAGGCAAGGAAATTGCATTTAATGAAAGTAAGATCAGATAAAGGATCACAGAAGGTCATTAGTTTACTTGTTTTCTGGTTCAAAGGGCTTTATTGTTATATGCACAGATACAGTGTAGATGTGCTCTGAAAAACTTAAGTCACAGACTCCTCCAACAATTCAACATAAATATATATAAGACATAAAAACTAATGAAAAAAACAATAAAAAAATGTGTAGGTTCAGGAGTATGGCTTCAGATATGTATGGCTTGTGGGATAAAGCCTTCCCTGAGTCTGGTGGTAAAGTCTCTATAATCCATATTATTATAATAACATTGAATCAAATTATAATGTTAAAGCATAACTGGTTGTGACGAACCAATAGGGATTTTTACCCAACTTTGCTAGTACCCTCGGCCCTAACAGGCCTTAAAGGCATTTTTCAGCTTATTGCAGGTTTACTGTTTTGATCCACTCTCATTGCACTCATAGAGTTGTTTTCGGTTGCAGCTGTGTCAGAGAAACAAAGAACCAACTGCTCCCTGCCAAACCTCAAAAAGCAGCCAGACATTTTGCAACTAGCCGATCTACAATGTTGATGTTGATTGTCGGTGGGGTTACTCACTCTGTGCTTGTTGTTTACAGTTATGATGACCATAAGATCGAGAAGCTCCTGGACGGCAGCTGGTCAGTGTTCTGGATCAAGATGGCCTCCTGCTGGGTCTGTCTCTTCCTCTACATGTGGACCCTCGTTGCTCCCATGGTGTTCCCGAAGCGTTTTGAGGCCTAGGACACCCCTCCCCCCAACACTGAGGTCAGGCTACTCAGGCAGAAGCTCTCACGCTGAGCCAGGGACCAACCCCCCCGCCCGCCCCCCCCCTTTACCTTAAAACACAACCCTACACTCAGCGTGGAAATTGAGGATTATCTGTTGCCTTTTGTTTTATATGCTAGTATCTATTTTACTTTGTTTTACAATGTTAATACCTTGATGGTAATGTTGCTACCTTTTACTACCACTTACTCACGGAGTTTTGTATTGCTTACACATTTGAAATTACATAAAGAATCATGGGATTACATTGTGAAACATAATAAGCATCCGACCCCTATAGATTCCTTCCTGATTTCAGATTTGAAAGTGTATTTTGTAAGTATTTACTGTGTGTGTCCGTTTGTTTCAGGTTTTTTTGTGCTTTTACTCTCAGCCAGGCATTTCAGTTCTGTGTAGTTGGACCATAAAGTTGTAGCAAAGTTTTGGGACAAATGTATTTAAGGTTAAAGATGTTACAAGATAAATTGTATTTATTTAAGTGCATATTCAGTTATCAGGAATAATTTTGTGAAGGTGTGGTATGAATTGAATTACAATTGTCCCTGACTCTGTTTAAAATCTCATCTCTCAGGCTCACATGTAAGCTGTTTGTGTTATATCGCTCTCTTTTTGTAGAAGTTTTCTATGCAACAGAACAAAGTCTTTTAGATAGTGTTGTGACGTTTCCACAAAGATTTTATTATTGTCCATGCTCCCTTTGAGCCAGATTATTTCTTAGGAAAATCCATGTCCACCCTTCAACATTTCCAGTCATCATCGTTGTTGTACAGGGCAGGGCTCTTCAAATCAACCTGCCTTACATAAGAGTGACGTTAGTGGAGCGCCGCCTCTCTGGAAGAGCTGCAGTGACACAGTGAGGAATGTTTGCCAAAGGTAGATGTCAGAAAACAACCTACTACATCTAAATTGTTTGGTCGGTTAACAAAAAAAAACATATGTATTTGCATGCCATGCACACACGGACACTTAAATTAGCTATTGTCTGTACAGTCTCAAAGGCTTTTGTTACATGTGTCAGCTCATAGTGGAGGTCAAAATAAAGTAGCATGAGGGTTTTTGAGTTATTCAACACTGGATGTTGAGTTAACTGCCAAATTAAAATTCACACAAAGACCTGTTTGTTGCCAGTGTAACAGATTTTGTTTGTATATAAATACAATGTATTAAACATTGTCAACTACAAATCTTTTATGCTCCTCATTCATCAATACATCAGTCTGTCATTTTGTCTGACTGTATTGCTAACATGTTTTTTAATATGTACATTTTGGCTTAAGTCCTGTGGTCTGTTGACTCTTTCTTTCAATGTATGCTTTATATACCTGCAAATATTGTCATGCGAAAAACAGCTTTTTAACTATCGGTATGAATGTAGAAGATAAATGGTGCTCTTGGCTTTGATATCAATCAAAACAATCTGATAGCAGGAGCTACTGTGAAGCCTACCATAACACATAGGACCACTTTAGTAGTATGTTTTACTATATAATCTGAGATGTGGGTGCCATGCACTTCATTGTTCACATTCTTTCAATAAAACATACATTGAATGCCATGTGGTGTCTTTTATTTACTGATATTTTCCTCCATACAGATAAATAACACAATGATCTGATGTAAAATACCACATACAACCTGCCTTGATTTCCTTCTTAAATGCTCAGATTATTTTTTGTTTTAGCAACGTAATCTATTACAGTATTTACGTACTAATAAAATGTTGGTACAATTGCTTTGAGATCAAAATACACAGGACCTGTTTTTTATATAATAATGTACTGGCTTCAGTTACACACAAATAAAGTATATTGTTGGAGCTATATATATCTCTTTATATTATTTAATAGTGTAACATTTATTTTCTTGCTGTTTATAGTGTTTATTATTATTATTATCATTTATTTATATGTATTCTTAGTTAGTGTCATAAGTTAAAGTAGTTTCTATGCTTTTATTTTGAAGGCATGTTTTGGGCACTGGGTGATTAGAGCACCTGGTGTAATTGTATATATTGGAGACAGGTGGGTGGTGGGAGCCAGAGCATTAGCAGGCAAACGGTGTTTTGTCAGGGTGTTTCAAGCCACACAAGGGGAAAGCCATAGGAAAGGCTTATGGAAAGAGATATAGAAAGAGATATAGGAAACCTGTTCATTGTATTTTGTTATAGGAATAAAATGCACAACGGAGAATCTTGTCTGGACCTGGATCATTGCCCTGCGTAAGATCCGCTAACTAGTGCCTCAACGGCTGTATTATTTTAAGTTAATTATCTGTTTTAGTTCTATATGATTTTGGCCGCTACATATATAATGCCCAATTTGTAAGCTTTCCTAAGACCCTCTCACTCAAATGACCACGTTAAAATAATCTTTAACCAACCCAGTCCATCATGTTTCCTCTCACTTTTTATTTACCTCACTACCTCTTTGTTCTCAACAGTGCAGCTCTAATAGTTTATCTGATGGATCTCTGCGCTTCACTCTGTGTTCTGGGCATTGAGATCCTCGTAGTCAGCAGGAATAGTGTCTGTGGGGATGAGAAAGAAAATAAACTCACAGCGTACTTACAGTTAAAGTGGCTGATTTAGCTTTGTTTACCTTGCTGATACTCACCATTGCAACGGTACTTCAGGTTGGACCAGATGATGTTTTCCTGAGAGAAGCAGAACACGCCCAGTCTCCCTCCTCTCATGCTGGTGTCAATGATCGCCTCGGTGTCCGCCACCAGCTTTGGCCCCTCAAAGAATCGAGCCCTGGTTCACACAAGGTGAAACTAGTTAAGTCAGCTCACACTGTACGATTGTGAATGTATATAAGTGTCGATGTGTGAACTGCAGCGGGGATAATGTTATGAAGTAATGCACTTAAGAACAATCCTGAGGTATTTGACTCAAGTCTTCTCATTTCATGCCACTTAACACTTTTGCTCTACTACATTGTAGACACAAATATTGTACTTTATACTGCATTCATCTGACAGCTTCAGTTAATTGTGTCCTAACAAATTAAGATTTGTATACAGAAAAATATATAAAGAGTTTGACTATAAGGGTAACTTTTTCAAAAATGGTTTCAACTTCTCATAGAAGAAGTCTTTCAGATGTTCCTTTATTTTGTGTTCCTGTTGAAATATATTGAAATCAATGAAGGCTTTTAAAAAAGTGTTATACAAGCTAAACAATAGATCAACTAATGGAGATCAAACAACAGCAGATACATCTAAAATGAAAATAATCATTAGTTTCAGTCTGATACCAAATAGAACAACTTTTGCTCCACGTCAGCCCACTACACAGAAAAATCCTGCTTTTACATCAATGCACAATTATAATCATATCATCAGGGGGATTTTATCGCACAAGGCACTTACATTTTTTACACCTAGGCCTATGTACATTTTTCCTGATTAAACATAAATCACTTTACTTAAGTACTACTTTTAATGCAGGAGTGTTAGAACAGTGTGCTATAAGTATTTTATGTATCACTGCTGGTGTCTGGAAGTTTGTACCTGATGTATCCGACCTGTGGTCTGTGCTGGAGGAACCAGCGGTAAGAGACCTTGTCCTTCCAGCCAACGTTCCTGGGGTCCTTCCACAGGAGGCGCACCTGGTCGGGGGTGTCTCCTGTGTGCCACAAGGAGTTCCTCAGATACTCACCAGGACCCGTCTTTGACTTCACAACCTAGTATCGATAAAGAGACAGAGAGCATAGAAGAAGAGACAAACTTTTGATGAGAGTGAGAACATTTCCCCAGCAGTAACTCTGGAGGTAGAGTGGGCTGCCGCTAATCACAGGGTGCCAGATCAATCCCAAAAGCCTCTTGTTCACCTGCACAGGCCCCCCAGGTGATTTAAGTGTCAGGGGCCACTCTGGCTTCCACCAACATGATGTCACTCAAAGAGAAATGTACCATCCAGGAAGAGACTCAAAATTACAACAAAAAAAACCCACAAAAGAAACAAACAAACTACAAAGAGATGCATAACAGCGACAAAAGGACGAAGAGACTCACAACGGCTATGAAAAGGGCTCCAACAACCTAAAAAAGACTAAAAGCAACTACAAAGAGGCTTGATATGACCACAAAGAGACACGATACGTTCAGGAAGAACTTAGTACAGAGGCAAAAGAAAGAAAAAACAACTATAAAGTTTGTCAGGTCTAGATCAGTGGTCTCAAACTCAAGGCCCGGGGGCCAAATCCGGCCCGCGACCTCATTTTATGTGGCCCCGCAAGAGCTTGCAAAGGATATAATACGTTTATTATACGGTTACATGCCACTTTACAGAAGCAGGTTGCTCATAAACTACATGTCCCACAATGCATCTCGTTTTGTGACATGCACACTGAAGAGACTTGCAATTATTTGCCCTGCACTTCTGCTTTCAGACGTAGTTAATTACTAAGTTATTATCCTATCCGATAATAATCCAATTCAGATGCAATAATGTACTATAATACATTTATTTTATATATATATTATATATTTATACAGTTACAACCGGCCCTTTGAGTGCAACCTTTATGCGAATGTGGCCCGCGATGAAATTGAGTTTGACACCCCTGGTCTAGATCCTTAAACACCTTTTGCATGTCTTTGCCCATAGCATAATCCATCCATGATCCTGTCAAAGTTTCCTTGGGACAGAAATTGAACTCATAATTGCTCCGCATAGCTGGCTGCCATCATAGTGTGATTGTGTAGGGAGCAGCCATTCACCTTGAGTTGTATTCCCGGGTCAGCGACGGCTCTGAATGGCGCAGCCTGCCAGTACGTTTGCTCGGTCTGTTTCCACATCACCACGTAGAAGGAGGAGGAGTCCTGGTAGCCGAAGATGAAGCCAGCGTAGTCATCATCAGTCATCGTGTTTACGTGGAAAGTTCCCTCAAAGTCAACACCACTGAACGCTTTGTATCCTACAAATGCAAGAGATGAGAAGACATAAATAACATGTTAGGGAAAGGCTGCACACTGAATTAGATGGGAAATGTTCTGTTTAAGGTGGCGATGTGACGATTCTTCTTACCTACAGCAAGGCCAGGGTCAGAGTTCATTGTCTGAACGATCTCCATGCCCTGTCAGGACAACAGAGAGTAGCTTCACTTTGTTTGCCCTATTATGACACTGTGATTTTGAAAGGGATTGTGCTGCGAGAAGCATATATTGTGAAAACGTCAAGCCTCTTTAGTAGCATGTTATCAAACCGTTAAGATTATATTTTCTTCATCCTAACTGGAATGATCATGTTATTATAGCATGTAATGATGTTGATATCCGAACATTACTTTACTATTACTAAATAGGTTTGTCTTGTAGTTATCTTTAAATGTATTTCCCTGTTAGTATTCCCCTAGACTGTTACAATAATTCCAGTCTACTATTATCCACATACAGCCATTGTTAATTCAAGGTTATTATACAAGACGATACGATAATACTTTATTGACAGATCAAGCCTGAAATGTACTTTATTACTTGGCTACTTACTTACTTTAGTGTTACTTAATTAATACTTATTTTACATACAATTATTACCATACAATTAGAAGTTATTTTCAAGTTTGAATGTAAAGTGCAACCCTGAATGCTAACACACTGAAACAGAGGCTAGTTATCCAGGTTGTTTACCTGGTTGAGGACCACCCAGTTGGGGTCGATCTGAGAGTCCCCCTCTGGATCCAGCACTACGGTCTGATAGGCTCTGAAGTCGGTCAGCGTGACCTCTGCGTTCTCTGGGCAGTGGTCGATTATGTCAATGACGTTGTCTTGGTCAAAATCTCCTTCGCATGCGTCTCCGACATTGTTTTCTGAAACGCACAGACACAGATCAGGGACCAACACACATACTGTACTGTACACACACACACACACACACACACAGTATCACACGCACCTGTACACATGCATGTACGTACTCCGGAACTAATATGATGTCTATAAAGGTTAAGGGGCAACCCAGAAGCTGGACCCTCACATTTTATAAAACAGAAATTACAACAAAAAGTAAATTAATTAATACATAAATAGTAATAATTAAATAACATATATACAAAACTAAATGTAATATATGGTATTCATGATAAATACGTTTTTTTTCTAACTTTCTTATACTCGTTTTCTTTTTCCCAAACAAAATCTTGACAACTGTCCTGTATTAAAATGTTTTCTACTTCCTCGTGTTGTTGTGTTAATGTGAACTATACTATATATTGGACTGTATGACACTTACCATCTGTGTCCAGTTGGTCTGGGTTGCGAACAAGTCTGCAGTTGTCGTCATCGTCCAGGATGCCGTCATTATCGTCGTCATCATCACATTCATCTCCCTATCGAGAAGAAGTAGCACATTTGCAGTATTTTAAACAAAGAGCCATCTTTATTTCAGCATACATTCGAATAATCAAATGTAAAAAGTGAAGTATGAACAAGGAGATTAAAACCATTCCATCCTTGTCGGTGTCCAGCTGAGAGGAGTTGATGACTGTGGGACAGTTGTCTTTTGAGTCCTGGTGGCCATCACCATCACTGAGGAAGAGGAGGGAGGGCATGTCAAACAAATGTCAAAACTTTACACATCTTCATACCACAGGTCATAGCAGTGGGCTGTACCTGTCTACGTTGTCATCACAGGTATCTCCTACGAGGTCATCATCGGAGTCAGACTGCAGAAATACAAAACAAACACTGTTGGTCAGTGTTACCCGGACTACTGATCTTTCCAACAGCTTTNACCCAGAGGCCATCAGACTTGTGAATAATCTCTCAGACTTTGCCCCCTCCCATCTCATTATCCCAGTCATGACCATCACCACTAACACTAGTCACTTTATTGATTTGCACACTGCACCATACTCATCCTATATCATTCATATTCATACTGCTATGTCTATCTTTCTTATTCTTATGCATATTTATATATGTATACACCATACTCTACCCTGCTGTTTATATATCATATTTATTTTATCATGCAGCACATTATGTACTTTTATTCTGAGACTTTTTAATGTACGTCAGCTAATATTTTACAATTTTTCTTATGCTAGTTTTTATCTTATATGTTTGTTCATATGTATAGTTTCTTAAAATGTTGGTGTGGAGAGCAGAGCGTGTGGAGCCTGTTATACTGTACACATGACAATAAAATATCTTGAATCTTATGGCAGCAGGTTATTACTTTTCAGGTGTTTTTTGGTTTGTTACCTGGTTAGGGTTGAACATATCAGGACAGCTGTCACAGGCATCTCCCACCCCATCGTTGTCTTTGTCCTCCTGGTCTGTGTTGGGGACTTGCTGGCAATTGTCGAGGATATTCTTCAAGCCTGCGGACACATTCACCTCAACTCCTTTATTTCTGCGTCATGTTCAAAAGCCATGACGCAGAGAGGAAAATCTAAAAAGCATGACAGGACGCAGCCCAAAGTCAGACACGGTCCGTCAAAGCATCACCAGATGGCAGTGTTTGTTGAAGACGGAGGTTAAATAGTTTCCAGTGGCCTTTAATGCCTGGCGGAGGCTCAACATGGAAAACGCTTTTTAGAGAGGAGACAGACATGACCAAGCGCTTAGCAATCCAGCCTGGGAGTTAAAGACATAACCAAATGATCAAGAGCTTGGAGCTCTGTCAGACTGATTGGACAAGGGTCAACAAACACAGACTAAATGTGTGAGGCATGTAAAGGTACACAATAAGGGGAGAAGTTAACATAGTCTTTCCAATGGAATAAATGAGAGGTGCTCAAAGTTGCAAACAAGTATTTGAGAACATTTTGTGAAAACAGCCTTATACGATTTTAGATGGAAGATTTTAACACTTATCACTGTTTTCGACTAAGGTTTCGAAATAAGGCTTGAATTGTTTCCCTCACAGCCAGTGATCTGACTGCTACAGGATGTTAATTGGAAACAGAAGCAAAAGACCGGAGGATGTTTTGAACTGATAAAGTGTTGCCAGTCCAGTGAAAAAAAGAGCCCACACTTCCTGTTAAACTGGACTGTAAAGGTTTCTATTTCTGTCTAGACGCTCTGCGGTTTGGAGAACACTCACAGACACGCTGGTGGTTAAATGTAATTATTAGCCAATTGGGTTTGTGTTTCAAAATCTATTACCTCTAATTGATGCAATAAACGCAGTAATGGTCCAGTAACTACACCTCCCGCAGTAATGACCATCCAACCTTTTCCTCCAATGTGACCATTTACAATAATTTATAATTACACGCAGTTTATAGCCAAGTTAATAATTATTGAACCGTTATATAACACACATACTCTAGGCATGGGATGATATAATATCTTTATGTAATGTGTTTTTTGGGGAAGAACATTTCAATTAATTGAATCATCAAAATGTGCTTAAAACTCGAAATGGCACCGATTACATTAATCATTTTACCTTTCATTAATTTAAGAAAAACATATGAATTCATCACAGATAGGACCCACATCTTTTTTTCTGAATACATTATAAAAAATAATTACAATTTCCTCGTATGTGTAAACCTACTTGGCAATAATCCTGATTCTGATTCTGGTGTCAGAGTTGGTTTTTTCTTACATATAAGTTCCTCAAATCTTTTAAATCAGGCTCTTTTTAAATTTCTCTACCGACAGCTTTTTCAAGTCACTCACGAGATCATTTTCGAGATTATCCCAATAGTAATATTGGATAGTGAATTAATTACCATCACCTTACTGTGAGTGCTTTGTATTGAATTCTACGATAAACTCTTATATTATCCCATCTGTTCAACATACACACTTACCGTCCCCGTCCATATCATCATCACACTCGTCCCCCAGCCCGTCCTGATCCGTGTCCCTCTGTAACGGATTTTCAACTGTTTTGCAGTTGTCACAGGCGTCGCCATGGAGATCCTTATCGCTGTTCTTTTGTTTCACGTTATGAACGAGCCAGCAGTTGTCCTAAGACAGAAAAAATAAAGTTATACTGTAAAGTGCATCGTCTCAAGTGAGAGGGTTTGTAAAGACTTGTTTGTTTAGTTTAGTTTATAGTATTGTGGACAGTCCCCATTGATCAACTGTCACAAAAAACAGTAAATGGGGCAGCTTCAGCCAACATGGCTAATTTCCAGCTGTTGTCCCTGGCCAGATGATAATAGACACCCTTCAAATCACAATATATCAACAGCATTAGTTATAAAAAAAGATGAAAGACAAGTAGAAACAGGCGAAAGGATAAAAGAGAACAATAAACAACACACGGTACTACACACAGTACATGTCACATATAGCACATCACAATCACAATTGTATGAGTTGACTGAAGTTACCTACATCATCGTTAAGAATACCATCACTGTCTGCGTCCTCGTCACAGGAGTCCCCCTTCCCGTCACTGTCTGCATCCTCTTGGCCAGAGTTTGGCACAAACACACAGTTATCCTGGAAACAACACAAGTGAACACTCAACATGAGATAATACTAGAATGAATTAAAGGCATAAACAGGGTTGGGTGGGGAGAAATAAGTACCTGCTTACAGTTGATGTCCCCGCACGGGAGCTTAGTGTCTGGATACCCGTCAATATCGGTGTCTTTTCCACACACATAGCCATTACCTGCCCAACCAACGCCACACTAACACACACACAAACACACCAGATGGAATATCTTTATTGTGTAAATGATATAATGAGAAACAGTAAGTGATTCATACATTTAATGTCCAAGGATGATCTTATTGCTCACCCTACAGCTGATGCTGCCATCTCTCTCCACCACACACTCTCCAGTGGCGTCACACGGGCTGGGTTTCCCGTTGGGGCAGAGCCTGGTTGCCTGGCAGCCTCTCCTCTCGTCTCCTGTGAAGCCAGTTTTACAATCTCCACAGCGGAAGGAGCCCTGATGAGGACAATACTGCGTCAACAACCATGGCCTCCTGCTATAAGAGAGTGATATAGTAACTTTTTCAATGGTCTCACTATAGTGTTGTGGCAGTGCGAGTTGGCAGTGCATCCTCCATTCTGCGGCGGGCCCAGACACTCATCTATATCCTCACACACCTGAAAATAACAGATAAAGTCATTGCAAGACATCGTGGACTGTTTGTGAACCTATAATGTAAAAAATCGTTTTGGGGATTTGAATGTATCCAAACTAAAGAAATGTGTTAAAAAAACATTCTTCAAATGGTAAATAATATCATTGAGTGTTGGAATCCTCCAGACCTTCAAATACTTGGAAAAATGGTTTAATGACAAATTGAGAAACTGCAGATGTCATTGTGGAAAAAGGCTCAGCAACATTTCTACTGCATACTGCATGTTAAGTAGAAGTTCATTGATTTAAATAGTGCAATTGAACTGCAATTAAAAAACATTTAAAGAAATTAAGGTCATATTTGTTTATTAGATATTTGTTTTTAAATGTGCAGAAAAATTGTCAATGTGAATTTCTGTAAGTATTTTAAATTGAATTGAAAGAAGAGGCAGAGATAAACAAAGACAGAAAGAATGTATTTTATACAGCGTATCAATTTAGTTTGTTGTACCTGTTTGTGGGACTTAGCATAAGACTCTCCGACTCCATTTATCTCCGGACCGCTGTATCCCAGAGGACATTTCTCACAGCGGAAACCAGGAGCAGTGTTCACGCACCGGACCCCCGGGTAGCATGGCTGAAACTGGCACTGAGACACACAAAAACACTCAATGATAATAAGTGTACTTTTACTGGTTGCAGAGTTGCATGCAAACTGAGTAACTTATAATCAATACCTCGTCTACGTCGTCACAGCGCACCCCGTCTCCTGTAAATCCTTCCGGACATAGGGCGCACTGGTAACCCCCTGACTCTGATGGGATGCACATGTTCTGTCTGAAACAGGTCCCAGGTGGGCACTGAGTCTGCGGCTGAGGAGGCTGGGGGGGCTGAGGCTTAGGTTGAGGTTGAGGTTGAGGTTGAGGCTGAGGCTGAGGTTGAGGTTGAGGGGGGGACTTAGGCTTCATGAGAAATGGTGCAGGAGTCGGACCTGTGTTGGTGTTTGGGTTGCCTCCGAGGCCTGTGGACAGATATGAAAGCACCTTGTTGAATCATCCCTTAGTCAGAAATATGCAAATACTTTATAAAGGATCACTGTTTTTGTACTACTTACCACAGGCAAGACACTCTGTAATGGTGTTCCTCAGAAAGGCTGTCTCCTTAATCTAAACCAGAAAGAAAGGTCCGTTAGTCAGGACAAGCTGTCTAGCTATTTAGCTCATATCAATGGGGGCAAATCAGAATCTCATGTAAAAGGCTGTATAATGTGTGTCTGATAAGGCCAGCTATATTTATCTGTTTCTCTATGCAAAGGATTCACTCAAGGGTTAGATGCTAAACTTAAAAAGAAAAACGTATATTGCTTCGGGCTTCCTGTTATTTATGTCTTATCTCCAAACAAATCCTCTACTTTAAAGGAGCTTCTGAAATCACCAACTTCTCTCTGTTGAGGTCCTTTTCACTTTTCCTCAGCTCTCTGCTGCTGGAGTTACAGCAGTCCTTCCTCACAGTCTGGATTCTCAATTTTCACAACAAATCGCTCTTTTTCTATTGCAAAACCAATTTTATCAGAAAGAAAAAGGAAATGGCAAATAGTTGTGAATCAGCCCACATTATTCCACTTTAAAACCCTTTTTAAACAACCAAGGACCTCTCGACATATACTGTACACAAAGCTTTCCAAATAGCTTTTGTTTTATTTCATCTATTTCACTTCACCTCAGCATTAACCTATTTTAAAGAAACAAGTTAAGTAGTTGTTGGACTTTTAAATAAATCTTGAACAATTTTAATATTTTTAAGGTTACCTTTCCATCAAGAGTTACCCGTGTGAGAATGTCAAGAACACAGAGCGGATTACCTGCTGGTTAAGCAGCACCTTCATGTCAGATAACATGCTCTTCAGCTCCAGCATGCTGACCTGGTCGTGTGTTGTACTGCCTCCCTGGATACCTGGGGGAATTCCACAAATCACAATTAGAGAGCTGGATAAACAACACCCACTACCCTGATAGGTAAGAATGTCTGAATTAGTTTATCAGGTGATTTTCTCAGCAGTCTTTTCTCACTTAGCAGCTGCAAAGTTTCTCGCTGATCCACACTGCAGTCCTGCAGAGTCGCCACATTGTCTATGGTGTCCTCTAACACCAGCTTCAAGTCTGTCAGTTCATCCTAACAAAGGAATAACAGATAGGGTTATAAAATGAAATGTATGTGGCATACTTCTCTGAAGTTGTTGCAATGAAGCCGTATTCAGATCATTTTAAAATAGTTTTCCATGCAGCATATCTCTGCCTTTAAATGTGTGATTGCTCTCACCTGCCCTCTGGACTGCAGGGTTCTCAGTGCCACCTTGTTGGGCCCGGGGGGGAGAGACCCAAAGGCAGCTGGCAGATCATTCAAAGTGTGCGCCAGTCTGCAGTCCACATAAATGTTGAGGCTAGGTGTGCCGCCCTGAAGGCCTCTGGCATGCAGCATCACATGGTGATCCCGCCCGTCTGCCAGGGACGCGTGGTTGAAACTGGTTGTGGCAAATCTGCCGTCAGTCTTCTGGTAACGAAGGGTCACTGGAGATGGAGAGAAGGGAGAGTGAGAGACAGAGAGAAGCAGCAGAAGTTATTACAATCAAGCAGATCTGTTGCAATAGAGGTGTGTTGGTGGATTATTTCACCCTTGTTGAGTTTGGCCTGCACGCTGAGCTCCAAGTACTTGGTGAGGTCTTTGGGGTTGATGATACTGTAGAGCGAGGTGGGGGCCTTGCTGTGGAGGCTGAAGGAAGAGAGGAGGAACGCCTCATCTCGCCCTTTGTTCTTCAGACTTCCCTGTAACAGGTCTGGCAGGCAGTCTGGAGACACCAGCAGGTCGTAGACTAACACAGGAGAGGGTTGTTAAAAACCTGCATTAGACTGCAGTGAACACAGTTAAATACAGACAGTGACTGTTTATAGTTTGTAAAGAGCTTAGAAAATAGTCAGCTTGTGTTCACTTTAAGCACTCACTCAATCTGGTACACTGTAAAAAACAAACATTATTAATGGAGAGCTTTCTGAACTTGTGTCTTGATGGCTACCGTTCGCAGTGTACCACAGATTGCTAGAGTCATGGTGCTTTATTATGTGTGACAGTGTACCTGTGGGAGTGTGCACATGCGTATGTGTGTGTCAGTGCACGTTCTTGTTCGTGTCCTGCTGTGTTTTATTGAGTGGTAGACTGGAGGTGAAGAAAGGAGCAGCAGTAAAGTCTTTCCACTGGAACAAACCAGCTGCCTCACATGCACGTACACGTCAAAGCACAAAAACACATGCACACAGCCAAAAGCTTCAAGTAAATACAAAGTGACCCAAAATTATATGGAAAAATGTGCGTGTAGACTCCAGGCAAATCAACGTTTTGCACATGCACTTTCTCAGCTGGCAGTTAAGGGTTGTTTTAAGATTTAAAAAACCTTGTACTTATTTAGTTCAGATTGTTAATAGATCCAGGAATGTCAAACTCTGATAACCACAAGAAAAGCCAAACTAATTAGCATAGCAGATTAAAAGTTTAGAAGACAACAGATAGTTAGGAACTGAAAAGACTCTAAATTGTACTGATCTATAGACAGAAATATGTTGTTTTCCAGAAGAGCATGGATGCTGAAGAGTACTTACTAATGCCTTGAGCTGTGATAGTGAGCACCAGCTGTTGCAGCAACAGAGACAGAGCCGCTGCTCTGGCCCACACACCCATCTTCAGTGCCCGAATGTGGGACACACCTCAGGAGAAGCTATGTTCCCGTAATAAAAAAAAGAAGTGTCTGTTTCCACTTATGGATCTGTAAGAATATCAAATATTATTCACCTATTTTAACACAGCATGGTGGAAGAACCCAGATGTTGAAGCAACATCTCAGCAGAGGTGAGATGGTTTTGTGGACGCAGGCACAGCTTTTAAAGCAGAGGGGAGGGTCCTTGCACTCGACTGCTGCAGAAGTGGCACAGTGTAGGGACCAGTTTAATAGTTAGAGGGAGTGTCCCCTTGCAGCTACTGTTCCAACAAAATATAAAGTGTTTGATGTCCCTATGTATAGTATTCCAAAAAATATTTGTCAAAATACTGGATTACTTATACTATATGAGCTGTTATTATTTTACTATTTTTAAGAGTCAAGAGAAAGTTTTTATCCCTTGAATCTTCATCTTTTGGGGTTTCGTAATATAACAGCATTAAACCCTTCTGTATATCAGTTAGTACAGCCAAATCTAAAATGTCTGAAATGGATTGTGCCTTGGTCTAAAGGGGGAAAGGTTGATCCCAGCTGGCCTTTGTTTTTCACAAACATCACAAACCTGTGTTATAAATGTGGATTTGATTACCTGGCTCCCCGTAAGCCAGTTATTAAATTATATAACTGCGTGCCAGATGTTTTTTATTTGAATTTAATGTAATTTCACTGGTTGTACATGCCTCTGCAAACCTTTTCTAAATTCCATCTGTTGAGGAGTGTGGGAAAGGGAAGACACAGAGGGCTAGACTTGAGACCCTGGAAACATTTCATGATAGAAGTCTGGTACTCATCTTAAAGCTTTCTCTACAAACCTCAAGTACATTTCAAACTCTCAGCTGCTGGTCCGAGCCAAAGAGAGACATTTACCATCCCTCTGAGCATTATCAGCACGCATCCGTCTGTGTCTGGCTGTCTGGTCTCCAACCAAACACCTGGCAGTCTTCAACTGTCTGACTGTCAGCCGGTGGACATACGTCATGTCATTGTTTCTGAAGATAAGTGAAATGTCAACAGAAAAATCGAAAAGACTATTTGACATTTTTTGACATAAAAATCTAAAGTGAAATGGGCACTTCCATTCCTGATATAAATTAAGTCAGTCTTCATAACAATGGATATTGAATGTATCACTGTTCCTTTCAATCCTAATGTGAAAATACTTCACATTTCTGAATGACGATTGATCTTAAAATTCACGTGACAAGAGACAACATGTGAACTCAGATTCCATTGATTGCTGGAAGTGCTGCAGCTTCACCTTCTCTGGCCAAAGTGTCAGTGCTATTGGCTAAAGGTTCATGAAAGTATAAGAAAGCATTACAAGGACCGACTTCTATTTCTGCCCGAGGCTACATTTTCGCCGTTGATCCACAAATCATCTCTCTGTGGAGCCGTGGATTTTATTAAGAAGAGTATGATGGTGGGAAATCAAATTATAATGAGAAACTGGAGAAACCCAGATGAGCCCTCTTTTTAGGAAAGGTTCAGAGTTGGCAGAAGTGGCATCATAAAAACACATTTCTTTCAGCTTTAAGGATAGCTGGGAAATATTGTGTGGAGAGTCTTCTTTAAATAATTGTTAATGTGGACAAATCTTAAAATGTAAAGCGCACACAATGTACATATACTCAAGTCCACAGCACACACTTTACAAACTCTGAAACAAGGTGCAGTGCTGTGAGGAGATATGGTTGAAAGAAAGACCCTTCCAGATCAAATAAAAAACAAAACAGATAAAGTTTATGTATTGTTTTTTTGGGACGCCAGACTTGCTGACTGTTACACTTACCTAAAGTTACCCTATACTGTATACTATCTATATAAACCCTACATGTGAATTAAAATAAAAAGATTTGTTATGTATGTTTTGTTGTAAGAATTCATCATTCTGCAAATAATGGTTGCAAATGAATATGAATATATGTAATTTGTGTACTGTCAAACCTCCATAGTTGTATTTTATTTTTATTTTTCAATGATTTTGTTTCTAGAACCCACGAGTGGCAGATGTATCTGTATCAAGTTTACTAATGGTGATCCTAATAAATTAATAATTATTGTAATTGACGGTGCCTCTGGTGTCGGATAACGATGGTGTTGCTTGTAATATTCATGTAGGAATATACATTTTATTTGTTTTAATTCCTATTCAATGTTTATGTCTTTATTAAATGTGACAACGTTTATATTAATAACAAAATAAAAACGTGTGTATTAAATAATATTGATATAGAAAACATTGATTTTGTTTACCCTGATATGATAGGTATATCGTGACGTCACCTGCAGATCTCCTTCCATGAAGCAAACATGGCGGCTGCCATGGAGCTGAGATGCTGGGGAGGAGACTGGGGTTTGCCTTCTGTCCACACCGAGTCTCTTATAGTCCTGGTAACGTTACCCTCCGCTTCTTAAACAAAATACACGGTTATTATATCCAGCATTACTTTTAAGACAACATGTTTCTTCACGTCGTTTCTTTGCGTCTTCTCTGTGTTTCTCTGGTTAGCTCCCATGCTACCTTGCCTGCTGCAGTTTCAGACTCTGCAGGATAGAAAACAATATTTCCGGTTTAATGTTTGCAAAGATGCAACATATCTTTGCTTACTGCATGGTCTGTCATTCATGAAGGACTGGCTGTCAGATATCTCTGTTTTGTCACAGAAATGTGGTCCTTCAAGGTCAGCTTGTTGAAGCTCCGGTTTTAATTTATATGGATATATTCACCTGTGTCTCGCTGGCTAACGTTAGCTATCTTTAGATGTAGTCCTAACTTTGTCAGGAAAATGAACATTGAGTACTTTTCTGGATGTCAATAATGATGTCTGTCAGTGAATCACTGCAGTTACAACTCCTGCCACAAGGTGACACTTTGACTGATTTATGAACAAGATCATGATTTCCTTTTAAAGCATTTAGATAGTTATACTAATGTAGTTGTTTTAGTTTATTGACAGCAGTCTTGTATGGTTAGTATCAGCTCAACTAAATGAAACATTTGACTAAGAAAATACATTTTAATGGCAGCTCTTCTTGATTTAATTGGTCATATTTCTTTCTTAATTTTTGTACATTTTAAAAATTGTTTTCCAGTTCCAGTTTCAAACATTTAGCTGCATTGCAACCATATAATCTTACAAAAGTTATTGTTGATTGTATTACAGTCCTTCACTGATGGTATAAACAGTTCAGGAAGTACAGTCCCAGCGTAACATTTATGACAGGCTTTGAAATCCTTACTGCAGTAAAGGTTTTCTCTTTTTATCATCTTTCCTGATTTGCAGTTTTTTCTTTCAGGCATACGCCAAGTTTTCAGGGGCAAAAGTCACAGTTTCTCCGATAGACTGGACATGGAAGACTCTAACAGGTGGGCTACACCTTTCCATAAACTAGCATGACATAACGTTGTTGTTCAGACATCGCATGAACTGTGAATTCTTTGACTGATAAAGGAGTATTTCATTAGTATATATACAGTACATATGCATACTTCAAATCACACAACAATGTTTTTATTTGTCAGAATTTGTTTCAAAATAGTGAATATATGTCAATTGTAGGTAGAGAATACATCGTTTATTACCAGACACTAACAATAACATGATCATTTTGATGCGACACCAGATCTTTTCTCAAAGTGTAATATCTTCTTCCTGTTATTCAACCTGCAGCGACAGTCCCAGAGTTGCTGTGTGGAGATGTTGCAGTTCAACAACCATCTCAAATTCTCAATTTCCTGAGGAAACAGGTGAGAATAAATGCCAAGGTTTCTCAATGTCCATCACCTGGTCAATACATCCCCCACACTCATTAAGCAGATTCATAATATTGACTGTATTCTTTGTGTACTCTCAATTTCAGAGGTTTAATGCAGACTATGAGCTGTCAGCCAGACAAGGAGCCGACACCATGGCTTACATCGCTCTGCTGGAGGAGAAACTACGACCAGCTCTGGTAACTCCCTCTCTCTGCTTGTGTCCTGACAAGAACTAACCTGTGACTTCTGTTTATACTCGAAATGATGCTTTGACTCCAACAGATGCACACTTTCTGGGTGGATGCAGAAAACTACGTCAATCTGACACGGCCGTGGTTTGCTTCACGCTCACCCTTCCCTCTCAACTTCATCGTCCCGGGTCGCCTTGCCAGCACCGCCCTGTCCCGCATCCTGCTAACCAAAGGAGAGGCGCCACTACACCGAATCACTGAAGTGGAGGGGAAGGTACATATTGACAAATTGTTTCAACTCTGTGTTAATGTGTTAAGTAGTCTTTTTCACAGTGTAAAGCTCTCATTGTCTGCCTCAGCTCTACAGTGATGCTAAAGAGTGCCTGAATCTCCTCTCATACAGACTGGGAACTGCAAGCTACTTCTTTGGCAACTCGTGAGTTCTTTAATGTCATTTAAAGGAACATAAATGTAGCTTTGGAAATTGGTACTGAGTACAGTTTTATTATTTGTTATCATAGAAAAAAACATATTGATGTCATAAAGTAAATAGAATACTATGTGATAAAAAGTCATATAATAGAATGTGATCAGAAAAGTCATTAAATCCTCCTAAAAAAAGACTAAGAGTGTACCATGTCACAAACAAATATCTTTACATTTCGTTGTATATTATCCAACAAAAAAGCAGAAAAGTACAAGTTTATGTATATTACATGTATGTGCAAAGCTATTGGACACAAATCTGGAAATATTGTCTTGTTGTTTAGATGTGTGGTTAGGAGTTTATACTGGTGTTAGTTTACTCATTTAAAGGGGACCTATCATGCAAAATGCACTTTGTGATGTCTTTTATACATACATGTGTGTCCCCGGTGTGTCGGGGAACTCACGCAGCGTCAGAAAATAAAACCCTCTCTCTTTTCCTCCGTAGGCCTACCCACATCTCTAAAAACGGGGGTACAACGGAGCTGTTCCATATTTGTGTCCGATATGACGTAATGTCGGAAATGTGGGCTGGCTTTAGACCAGGGGTGGGGAACCTCTGGGCTCCGGGGCGTATACGGCCCGCAGGACCATTTGGTACGGCCCTCGAGGTAATTTATAAACACACGCAAAAAAGAAAAAAATTAAAGAAATCTCGACCGCAAAAAAAATTAAACAAGCAAGTGCCTGTTTTTCCTGGCCAAGGTCNAGAAAAAGCATTTGAGCTCCATACTGTTTCAGAAATAATCCTTGACGTGGTTTAAACAGGATGGCGTTTTATCACAGCAGAATTTAACTTTATTTCCGGTAGAATTCTGATCAGGCATTAGCTCCGCCTCCTCTTCTTTCTTTCTTTTTCAAGCTAAGGACCCAAAATCTGCGTTTCTCTAACGGCTTCAAAAGAGGGGTTTGAGCAGTATGAGGGATGGCTACAATGGGTGAACTGTTTGGTATTTTGAAAAAAAAACTTCAGACATATAAATATTTGTTTCAAATACAGCATGATAGATCCACTTTAAGTTGTCAAGTTGATGTTCACCACATTAGAAGGAATGGCAAAGTGTTTGAAAGTATTTCAAAATGATTCATTGTAAATCATTATGTTTAAAACACTGTCAATACGAGTAATACTGTTTAGATATCTAATAGCCCAATACATCTCCCTTTTTGTTTGTGTCTGTAGGCCAACCAGTCTGGATGCCTTTGTGTTTGGCTTTTTGTCTCCACTTTACAAAGCGGGTCTCCCCAGCAGCCCGCTGCAGAGCCACCTCCAGCAGCTGCACAACCTCACAAGCTTCTGTGACAACATCCTCGCTCTCTACTTCAACGCCGACCGTCCATGTAAGATCGCTGCACCCACTGGAGATGCTCACACACTTGGTGGAGAGGATATTTATATAAGAAAACAAAAGCACATGCATAACTAACATCATCATCATGTTCCTTCTTCTCACACCTCTGTTTCTCTGCACGCTTGCCCTTGTGTTTGCTTTATTGGTCTAACACTCTGCTACCTTCTCCTCTGGGTGGCCCCTTACGCCTCTTCTCTCCAGGTCCTCCCCCACCTGTTCAGGAAACAATGGATGCCAACCTCCAGAAACTAACTCAGCTTGTAAACAAAGAGTCCAACTTGATAGAGAAGGTGCTTCTGCTTTCCTTTTGTCCTCTCTTTGCATGGGTTCATTGTTGCGTTTGGCAGATACAGTCTCAGCTGTAATGAAAGTATATACAGTAAATTCTCTCTCAACTTACTCATTATCATAATATGATGTGCTCTTACTAACTTTGACATCCTGTACTGTAGATGGATGACAACCTCCGCAGCAGCCCTCAGCACAAACCCCACAGAGTAGACCCCAAACCCAGCCTGGCCAGCGAGAAGAGCTCCACTCCTGCGTGACCCCCGACCTCTCCACCCTGATCCAGCCGAAAGAAAGGAAAGGTGCAGCTCTGAATCCGACCCAACATCCTAAAATCCCCCAAAAATATCCTCCAGCTGAACTTTAGTTTGAATGGAAAAAAACCTAATAATGGAGTTATGACTATGATTATAAAAGAGACTATTTAACAGAGACCTAATGATGATAGATTTCAAACATGCTGGTCTGAGAGAGAAGGAAAAGTGCATGTGTGAGGTTTTTAAAAAGGTTAAGCGCATGTATGTGGTTATGGATGGAATGCTAAGAAGTGGTGTTTAATGAGAAAGACACAGAAAGTCTAAATGAAAAGTCCAGCAGGGAAGAGGTGGCCCTGTTTGACCTGAGAGTGGACCACTTAAAGGAGCAGTGTAGGAGTTAGTGGCATCTATCAGTTAGAAGTTATATTTATACATAACATATTCCATTACTGCCAATAAGGCCACGTTTTTTAGTGCGGCGCTACTCCATTCTTCTCCAATGTGTAGGGTATCCAAAAACTGTAGCCTGGGTGATAAGCTAAGGTACGCTCCTTGATACTGCCGTGTAAATGGGAGACTTGCTGAATCATTTCAACTGCAACAAAACCGAAGAAAGTCTGCATTCCTTGGTGTACAGTTTAGTTTTGCCGGCTGCCATTTATTCAAAAAACCTTGGTGTACAGTAGTTAAAGAAAAGCAAATGTGATCGCTATTGATAAAGGAAACGCCATAAATCCCCTTCATTCCACATAATGGCCCTGGAACCTCTTCTTCCTTTTGATTCCTGTAGGAAGTATATATTTTCTCTACAACCCTTTATATTTAACATATTGAAAGGTATATTATGCCGTTTTCCCCCCAAAAAACGATGCTTAGACTCCCTTTCAATCACCACTAATGACTCGAATGGTGTGTGGAGATTTATCAGCAGAGACCCTGCCCCCCCTAGAGTATTTTCTCCTTGTGTTTTCTGTGTCCAGGTTGTTTCTAAGGGTCATGGTGGACACAGCCAACATCCCTAAGTGGACCAAGCTCATTCCAGTCTGAGGTTGGCTTTGAGCTTGCTGTATGTGACGCAACATGTGGTTCACTGTGTGGTCTCCCACTTCTGGTGTATATGAGCCTGGGGGGAGGGGGGGAGAAGGGGACATCTGCGCTTTTACAAACGGCAAGCAACAATTCCTGCATAGTATGCCTTTCAAGATATCACTAAAATATGAAATCTGTGCTGAAACACCTAGATTTCTTTAGATATCTGATGTTATTCCAGTTTATAAATCTGTGTTTCACCATGAAAAACATGGGTCCCAGATCCTTTAGCGCCACTCTGAGCTCACATCCTCCTATCTGCTGTAAAAAAGAAAAACCTGTGATTTCTAATGACATTCAGTTAGACTAACATACAGTAGGTATGCAGTGGGGACTATAGGAATATCCTAACATTAGCTTTCTTTGCTCTCACCGCCTCTGCTTTGTAAAGATGTATAGTTGTAAATATGTTCACGATTCAAATCAATGCAATGGTCCCTCTATTAGAGCCGAATAGCTCCTTCCCGCTCTGCTAGAAACACGGAGGACATTTATACTCGCTGTATTAAGTTATTCACAATATGTGGCACTAATCTGTGTTTGTGTGTATGAGAAACCAGTGTGTGTCTTTTCATTATAATTCATTGTTTATGCAAGATGCTCTGTATCATTAACAAACCACTTACTGTTGTTGTTGCCATGGTTCTCCACTTTTTTGCAGTCTTTGTTTGTTTAGATTTTCTGCTATGTTGTGCCTATTTAACGTTTATCGTGTTAAAACTGAGGTGTCTGTCCCATTTGGTAATGTCTCATTAGTTGCCTTTTTTTCTTACTTTAACTGTCTGAATTTCTGAAATTGGACAGTAAAATGAGTTGCCACTTTTCTTTATTGTTTTGTTCCCTAATTTTCTCACAGCCTAATGCATGTTTACTCCATGTCAACACGTTCATAGCTTCCCTGGGTGTCAGTCCAAAGGAAATAACTCTTGTAAAGATAGTTTGGCTCTAAAGTCCCTAAAATCACTTCATGGTTCCATTCTCGGTAAAGAAACAAAAGTGTGTGTGTTTCCAATAACAAATCTTAGCGACAACAAACAGGCTGGTGAGGAACATATGTGTGTGCCTACACGACTGTGAGTGTCTTTATACAATTGTCAACATGTTAACAGTGTCCTTCATCACTTTGATACATTCCCGTAAATTATCTTCATCATTTTTGTTTCTGTTCATTCTCTGTGGACGGCTGGTAACGACTGTCATCATATTATTGAAATACAAATAAGATAATCCAACTATGATCACTGTCTTTTTTTCTCCCAAGCAAATTCACGCTTAATATAATTTCCCTTGAAACAGTCAACAGATGAGCTGTTTGCAAGGCATGCTATTGGGTGATTTTCCCGTAGAAGCTTACGCTGCTCACCATGCCTACTGAGTGATCAGCTGGTTATGTTTGGAGGATAGAGAGCTCTTTGTTTGGTTTTGGCCTTAGACTTGGAAAACATGAGAATGTTTAAGCTGTAGGGTAAGCATGCTGAACATCATCAAATGTTTTCTAAATCATCGGTCCTGTGAGGGAGAATCTTGAGTCTTATCTTGGCTGGCGTTGAATAGGTGTGGCAATGGGAAATAATTAGCACATCTGGATCTGTTGTCAATGTTGTGCTAAAGAAGATATTAATGTTTTGTGTGAGCATCTCTTTAACTACAAATATTCAACTTCGCAACGCAGTGTTAGCAGTCCCATTCTCGGTGAAATGAGGCTGACAATTATAAAAAGCAGTCCAACAAATCACATGGAAGCCATCAGCTGTTCCCTGGCAGTCTTTATGTATTTACACCACAATCCCTTTCACTCCCCTCCTTCTGTTTCCACAGGAATTCGGGGAAAATGCCTGGAAAAATAGTTTTGTAATAATTGTTAAAAGACATGTCCTCTGGAGAACCATGTAGCCTGTCTGTGAGGTGTATGGCTCCCACATCTACAGTAGCTGTAATTCATCAAAATCAATCTGGGACGGCTATTAAGTGCATGATAGATTTTGCAGGAGTTGTTAGGAACACATTTTGAGCCGATATCACAGCCAATGGAGGGATGAGGCCCTCTGGTGGTAGGTGTGTGTTATATGAGCTGAAAACAAACAAGTAGTCCAGTTGTGCAAATAGAAAAATAAACATGTTAATTCAGCTCAGATGTTAACAACAGTTTACAAGTCAAAGAGAGAAAAAAAATGAGTCTCCTCTTGCGACCAGTCTCACATAACAAAATATAGAAGAGGTCACATCTGTTTACAAAGGTTATTTACACAAATTCACAATATGAAATACAGTTCAAAAGTGCCACAGTATGTTTCTTGGAGCTATAAACTCCAAAGTAAAAGGCTTTACTATTGTTTGAGTACAATGTGTGTTTCGCTTCAATGATGAATGAACACGTTAAATTAGTCAATCCTAGAACATTTACAGTAAAAAAAACAATCAAATCAGCAAATATTATGGCCAAATTTACAAAATGATCCAAAACATGCCATTGACCAAACAAAGGAAGACACTCAACTGTGGAAAGAAATGCAAGGCACTCAATTTCAATCGAGTTGTTTTCCAGACTGTCATATTTTCACTGATTTGACAAGACAGCTTCTGCTTAAAAAAGAGATACATGTTGGGTTTGTTTCCTGTTTATCAGAGACGGCGTGTTGTTGAGGTAAACAAAAAAACACACAAACCAATAATTGGAGAAGAATGGGAACAAGTTAGTCCTCTGTCTTCTTCACATCTTTTACATCCTGCATATCTGCAGTTTCATTTCAATTGTTATACGATGAGATCCTTCAAATCAAATGATGTCCAACATGAACTGTAAACTCCTCAGAGAGTGAGAGCTAGCTGTCCTTGGTAAACTCCGGCACCTCCTGCACCATGCTGACCTCCAGGCTGCCCGGCACCTCCAGGCCCAGAGCAGGGTGGCACGGCTGGGGGAAGCGCTGGCAGAAAGAGCCCAACAGCTGCCCACTCTGAGCGTTGTAGAAAGACAGACGACCAAGCTTGTAATCCAGGAGAGTGCCCACCCGCTCAGGCATCTCCATCACAAACACACTGGACTGGACGTCATTGTGCAGCAGCTGATAACTGCAGCTGGACAGAGAGAGAAAGGAAGAACAAGAGGTTTAGACCAGGGGTGTCCAAACTATGCCCATTTTGAAACGGCCCTCAGCTAATTCAAATAGTATAATGAAATGTGGCACACAAATTAAACTAATGCTTGTCATATATTTTACTAATCAAATATATATCAAAGTATTCATGTGTGCCCACTTTTCAAATTAATTCAATCAATTAAAGTTGGAAACATTTTCAAACTAGTCTTAGTTGATATAAAAGCCCAATCACTTATTTGCCTAATAAATCTTTTTATAAGCAATCTGAAGCTTCTGTTTTAAGCCATGAGCTGCAAACTAAATAAATGAAACCCAATGGAGATCTGTGATGTAGGCTGTTGTGTTTCTTACAGCATTTTCAAGTATCAAGCTTAATTTACCTACATTTGATTGATTTTGCTAACTTATAACTTAGCATATGAGGCAAAATACCTCACCTCTAGTGAGGGGCCCAGCCCTTCATATATGTTTCTGTATGTGGCCCTCGTGAAAAAAGTTTGGACGCCCCTGTTCTAGACCAACACAGTGATGGGAAGTGCAATAAATAAGGCAGTCGGGGAGTTCTTTGTGCATACCCTGATGGTGTTGAGATACACTGCAAACACCATGACAAGCTGTTTTCTCCCAGTGGGCTGTTTCTATTGGCTGTGCTGTCTGCCACTCCGATCCTGTAAGCTGTGCTCCTCGACACCACGGTCTCCCAGTAGTAATGTCCGTGTGCCGGCAACAGCTCTCCCAGGATGGATGGACACCTGGAAAACACACACACTCTCAGTTCAGTTTCAATTGGATACAAAAACAATTAAAAAGAACAGGAACAATCCTAAGACATAATAGAGATACAGTACGTGAAATGGGACACCATGATGAGCATTCTGAAGCTTGAGAATAGGGGCCCAGACACTAACCATATAGTATTTAAAATATACAGTGTTGTTTGTTATCATGTTGTTTAAAAAAGTAAATATATTAGAACATTCTACCTACAAAACTTACTTTACTAACCCTGACTACCAAACTATATGGTTCTAAAATATGTATAACACCAGTCCTAGCATTGGTATAATACAACAGGTACAATACAAAAAAATAGAGATGTTTAGCAAATGGGAGTAACAGTACAATTTATAATTAATATTAGAGTAGAGTTACTAGTTTAGAAGTCGCCAACCATTAAAGATATTAAGGCTTTAACATATTGTTGTAACAACTGATTCCTTAAGATCTCAAATAAAGATGTTTGTGTTATACATTTGTTTTCCAGATGTGTGCTAACCATGCTAAAGCTCACACATTTACCTATATGTGTGAACTCCTGTTGGAGTGGCCAAAGCTGTCTGAAACTCACTGTGTGTCTGTAGATTGTGTGTTTTCGTGTGCGTCCTGAGAGTAGTGCACAGTGGTCTGATCCACTGACAGCTCCAGAGCAGGGTGGGCCGAGGCCTTCAGCAGGTGGAACCTCGTCCCTGAAGACAGAAACAGGTAAGAGACAATATCATGAGTGTATTATGTTCTGTTTTCCTATTTGTGTAATGTTACATCCAGACAGACTTACAGTTAAAGCGTGTGTTTAGTTACCTTTGCTGGAAATGAGGGCCGCCTCGCTCTGTTCGCTGGCTCCAGACTCATTCACAGCTTTGATGTAAAACAGATAATTCTCATTGGGCTGCAGGAGAACCTTCTGTTCACAGCTTCTGATCGCTGAGATGGACCTAAGTTGCAACACACACATGTAAACATAGATTAAAAGAAAAATGTTTAAAAAAAAAGATTATTATACGCAGCCGAAAAAAATCTGCCCCTTCCTTCAGACTTCCTTACAGAGCCCCTCCTCCAACACACACAAACGCGCACATGAGCAATGAGGGCACGAGATAGATTTGTGTACAGATGGAAGGCTGACAGGCAGGTAGGCCATCCAGTTATTTTAGCCGGGCCGGCTCAGATGATTGGTC